CGTTTTTGTAATTAAGCCAACGATTTTATATTGCGTTCGAGATATGTGAAAATATGCGAATAAAAATATATGGGATGTAAAAATTTAATATATGAATGTGTGCAAGAATTTTGAAATATAATATGCGAAGAATATATGAGATGTCCGATAAATATACGCTATAGGAATGAAATTATAATTTTCTCTTATCACGTATATTTTCCTTATAAATCGTTTTAAATTTAATATTTCTCAACCAAGAAATGGTCCATAACGGATCTATAACATTTATCTGAGATTAAATGGAGTATGTTAGGTGTTAAATCTAGCACGCTTGCGCGTGTGCGTTTGTAGTGCGAGCGAGAGAAGTATGCGCAAGCGTAGTTTGTCCGGTCAGTGCGTTCGCAGAAGTCGAGCTACTCCTACGTACAGGGACGGGCAAATTCTAATGCTTCTGTAAAATGTCTACTAAAGGAATTTCGTGTTAACATGAAAAACAATGAATATTTTATTCATTAGAAATATAATTTTACTATCTCCTTATTCGTAATTGTATATCGATTATGCAAATTATAAATGGATTCATCTTCTTGATTTTTACGATAATATCATGAGTAAATGATGTAGGATGTTAATGTTTATTTAGATAATAATTTATTACAAATTTTTTGCTTTAATTTTAATTTATAATAAAATAATAAAATACTAGATTTATTTATTTTACAGTTTGCAAGGTATTAGAATTATATGTGAAAAGTTCTGAGAAATTGTTAAAAAAATTGTTACTGTAATGTAAAAGTTTAATGTTAAAAAATCAATTTTATAAATTGTGTATAAAATTATAAATTATAATTATTTAATTAACTGTAAGTAAATTATTAGATAGAAAAATTGTTTCTATAGATATCTATTTTCTTTAATAGAATACGTCCCTGTCTTTGCCATATTTCTTTTCTTTCGCCCACGGTGCCACAGTCCTTAGTATCCACTTCTACCTTAAGAATCGTTATTTATGGTAATAACGTATCACGAAGAACGTATCGATACTTCTTTTATATTCAAATGGTTTACGATTAAATATTTTATAACAATTAAATTTTTGTCAAATAGTGTAATATAATACAATGAATTTAATGCATTTTTTACTATAAAATAACTTTTGATGATTATGATAAATATTATTTGTTAAATTATAATTAGAAATAGATAGATATAAAGAATCATAAAAAAATATATATATTAAAGTATGAACAATTGTGCCTTGATATGAATTTAAAAATTATTCAAATGAATATGCAAATAAAAGAACGCGAATAATAATTCTATACTGACGAAACAGAAACTGAACAAATCTGTTGATGATGTCATTCTCGCAATTCCTGTTCATTCGTTATAATATAATCTATACAATTTATTCAATTTTATAATATAATTATTTTTCAAAGCTAATATTTTGTCGAAATAAAATTAAATTTCATTAATTTTTGTACGTTATTTTACAAATTATGATGAAAAGAAATGTTTCAATATCGTGTCATATTTATATTATATCGTTTATATATTTCTACAATCTTAAAAAATTAAATAATTTAAAAATTTCTTACATTTTTTTCAATTTTTAGTTTTCATTTTTTAAATTTATAATATATATTGTAAAAATGTTGTAAAGAAAATTTTTTTTATATTCTTTAAATGGAAATATTTTATCGATAAAATAATAATTATTATGATCTTAAAAAGATAACTTACCATTTGTAGAAAATACCTATTGATCGTCCATTATAATGATACATATTCACAATATATTCATTCATATGATTATATTCACGAAATATTTAATAACATTCATATAACATATATACAAAACAAAAATATTCGCGATATTTGTGTATGATTTTAAATTATATACGAAATCGAACGAATATAAATACATATCGACCTTTTGTATATACGCGCGTGTACTACCGCGGTAAACCTCAGTTCGGTCGATACCGTTGTACCGTGCGGATGTATCGAAAGTATCTCTCTAAAATATTAGAATATTTAAATATTTAATGTATAATTTATAATTTTTGTTTAATATTTTACTAATATTATCTTAAAAAATTTTCATATATTATTGTTATATAATATATTAACGTTTGTAAATAACATAGTAATTGTTCGATGTATAATAACGAAATATACCGACAGTTGAGAATAAAACGCGATTACTTTCGTACCGACAATCGAGAATAAAACGCGATCACTTTTGTATCGACAGTCCAAACGCGCGTATTTTAAAAACTTACTTCATCGAATCTTATTTTTATTTTGATTTCGTCTGAGACAAATTCTAAATTTTTTATTCTCTTTTTTCAATCAACACTCCAACGATAAAAAGAAAAAGAATAATATATAATAGAACAACTTATATATCAGTTTAATTAATAATTTTTTCAAATCTCAAATACATTTCTAAATTAATCCTTTCTTTCCGAATCTTGAATGGCTTTAAATTTCTAATTCAATTATTCCAGACAGCTTAACCTTTCTGTGTGGTACACGTCTTTCGCGTTACGTGACTGCTCATTCTCTTTGTGCGAACGAGACAAGGAACTACGTACACAACGAAGCCAGTATTGTGCACACGCGCAAAACCGTAGGTAATAATTTTCTCTGTTCTGGGCTCGCAATAAGGGTAGAGGGCAAACGCCGACAGAAGGTTGCTCCTATAGGTGGGGAATGCATCGAATGGTGGTGGGAAAGAAGGAACGATTGGTAAGGTTCTGTTGATACAAGTGCTAACACGCTTGGGACGATGGTGTGCGTGTGGTGTTAACCAGCGCACTCTCACTCGAGAAGAGGAACGTCAATGGCAAAAGAGTACGTAGCGAAGTGCTAAGAAAAAAAGGAAAAAAGATATGTGGTTGTCACTACGCCGTATAAACAGACGCACGACCATTTCGATTTTTACGTGTTGGTCGCATCATTCGTGCAGATCTTGCAATATGGCTGATGACGTTGAACAAAATACTGTATCGTAGCGGTTCCAAATTCGATGTTAATTATATTGCATTCATTTATGCAATTTTCACTTCAAGATAACATGGAAATAATTATTCATTTGCAGTTCATTAGGGTGATGTGATTTCGTTTAAGTTTTAATTTATTCATGGGAAGATATATTTTGTTTAGCTGTTTAGTGTTACGTCATTTTGTTTTTCAGTGATTAATAATAGTGAATGAAAAATTTATCGTTAAATGGACATTTTAATATTGATATGAGTTATTTATTGTATTATCGATAATTTCTTTTTCTTTTTTTTTTTTTTTTTTTTTTTTTTTTCTTGGAATATTATTATGGAGACGGATATTTGAGGTTATTTAAATTACCCGTTTTATAGGAATTTCTTTTCGTTGTAAATTGAATTGGCATAGATGGAATACAAAAGGAATAGTCAATATCAAGAAAGTTTTAAATCCAATCTTTAATATTAAAGTTTAAATAACGTAGAATCGATAATTGATCGTTCCTTTGTGTTATTAATTTCATCGTTCCAGCTGTATTGAATTATCTGCTTATTCGATGTGGGAGAAAAGAATTCAGTTTCTATTAAATTATTAAAGAGATTTCGATTTGTATTTATTTATTCATCGATGGAGCTATATCCTCCTTTTTGCGCATTATTCCCGCAAATTTAGGTAATAGTAATTAGTGCATAACGTAATAAAATTATCCTCTTAAAATTGCCTTTTATATTTTTAAAAAGCGATTTAATAAGATAAATCTAATAGACTTGTAAATATAATAGACTTTTTTTAAATTTAAATTGTTAATTTAATAAAATGAAAATTTTGGAATATTTATAGATAATCTCAACTTTTTCATCCAAATTTATCATTGTTACTTATTCTAAAAAAACTTTTAACTACGTCCCTGAGTTTACTTCTTATCCTTCCTAGATCTGCAAGAATCAAGTAAGTAAATAGGTCTATGTTCAAAAACAAGGATCGAGGGATAAGATTTTTAACAAGGAAGCAGAAATCGAAGCAAATACAAAATTAAGCGGATGTTTCTTCCATTTTCTTCAACAAATATATACCTTCCTGATAAATAAATATAAAATAAAAACGTTTTTCTAAAATTTGACAAAAAAATCATAGCAACTGTACCGTATATCAAATTCCCCGAAACCTAACATTCCATCAAACAATTTACAATATACATGATATCTCGAAAAAAATCAGAAGAATCATTTCAAGAAGATCCAAATTATCACGAGTCATCGAACCCACGCGTCGAAAGGACCGAGCGTCTCCCTTTCAAGCTACGCTCCTGGCTAGCGATCATACGTACACGTAACTCTATACACACCGAACCAATCCGTGGTGGAGCTCTAGGCCCGTGAAGCACAGCGAGGGAGGAAACGCAGAGCGGCGAACGTCATCGGTGGCAGGGAATGCAAAAGGCCAGATGGTGGGAGTAGTTCGGGGCTAGGTTGATGGTAGGGAAGGAGGAAAGGTGGGGAAAACGTTGGTGGTGGTGGCGGCTGCGCCGGGTATCCGGCTGGGGCAGTAGTCGGCGGCGTTTCGAATGATGTGGAGAGAGAAGGAGACGGAGAAGGAAGGAGAAAGAGAGAGAGAGAGAGAGAGAGAGAGGGTCGAATGGAATGGAAAGGCAGTCAGGTTAGCTGCGGCGCGGTAGGGGAGGGCAGGAACGAGGCAAGGCAAGCGATTTAGCTGGTGCTGGTTCGGCGAGCCACGAGTTGGAGTGGCGAGAGAGCAGCCGAGGTCCCGTTGCCCGTGCCTGCACCGGGAGAGGCGTCATGAAAGCGCGCCAGTTGACCGAGTGCACCTCACCTCGGACGAAACCGCGTATTTGCCGTCGTTGAGGAGAGGCCTACCTTGCCCTCTCTGCTTTCGTGGCAAGGATTCGGCCGGTGGCTCTCCTGCTCCTCGCTGTCACGCGTCTCTATTGTTTCTCCAGTGCGGGTTGGGGGGGGGGGACTCTTGGTTTTTGCCAGTATCCGGATAGAATAGCGGCGCGTATCCGTGTCGTGTGTCGGTCGAGACGTACTCGATTTTCGTCATTCGTAACCCGTGTGTACTCGTTTCAAAGAGAAGTTTCACCCAGTCAATAGTGTGCGAGTGAGTACGCGATGCGTGAGACGTGCCGTTTGGATTGATCATCGCGGATGTCTACGCTTCGGTCTACCTTTTGACAAGGGAGTTTGAGTGGGTGGAAAAGGACGAAGGAAATAAGAAGTTTTCCGTTTCTTTCGACTCGTTTTCACGTCACGCGAATTTCTCGTGGCGCGATACGTTGTTATTGACATATCGATTTGGTTGGCACGGTGCTCGTTCGTTTGGCATCGAATCGTGGCGGAGATCGAGAGAAGGAAACACCGAGAGGAGGAAAAAGAAAAAAAAGGAAAAAATATGAAAACTCGTTTCTGTCAGTGAGCACGGCTCGGATGAAAGTATTAAAACGTTCTTTCTTTCGGTTTCACGTTGATAACCACCGTCGCCTCGGTGGCCTGGCGTGTTTCACCTTGACGTTGAAACGTTGAACGTAGTGGCACGTTTCGGCTGATATTTCTCATCATCGAATCGAGAGAGCGAGGAAACGGAGCATTTCGACACACACACACACGCGATATTCTTTGTTATTCTTTGTTATCATAACGATATCGTACACAACGTTGCACGTACGCTCTCTTTTCGATTTCGTATTTTCTGTATCTGACGATCGATTCGAAACGCGAAGGGAATAAAAGGAACAAAGATAGATTGGCTCGAAGATTAATTCAAATTCGTCGGGCGTTCGGCGACGTCAACGTGGGCCGCTTTAAACGAGCGAAAGGAAACTTGTAACGCCAAAAAAAAAAATAAATAACGATCAGACCAGAAGATTATTAAAAACCTCCTACATTCCATTTTATTTTTTAACACAAAGTAACGAAAGTTACGCAACGAGTTACCTCCTTTGTCGTAAGAGAAAGAAGAAGAAGAAGAGAGAAGCGAGAAGAATATTAATCAACGTCCGATAATAATCGTCTTTGAAGTACAATTTCCTGGATCCGATATCGAACAATCTGACTGGTTGGTAACGTTAGTGACATCTCCGATTTCACGAAACGCTCGGTTCGTTACCTTGGCGTTGTCTCGGGCAAGGCAAGGAGGGTGGCATCCCCTCGTCTCGTTATCCCGTTCCACGCTCGTCGAGGGGCCGAAACGGAACGGATAGGAGAGCGTCGACCGAGAAGAGAGAAGAAAGTACAAGGCCTTATCTAGGCCCTCCTCCAACTCTTTCACCGTCGTCGAACAATCGAGTCGAAGAGAGAAAAGAAGCAAAAGAAGAGAAAAAAAAAGAAAGAAAAAAAAAAGATGATAGTGCACGAGCTCGTTATCAAACTTTACGTGGCCATTGTCGACGTGCTGGTTGTCGGTTGCCCGTATCGTTCCAGGTAAAATTCGAATTCGTTTCGTCAAAAGAGGGGCACGAAATGACGCTCGCCGTTTCGTCACGGTTCACCGACACTCTTGCCTGACATTCCATTATTATTATTACACGATACGATTCTCCCTTCGGAGGTGATCTCGTGCGAGCTCTCGACTTTAAACGTATCGAAACCCCATTCCAGTCATGACGGAACCACGGACCAGAAGTATCGTAAGCAACGACAGAACGAGAAAAAAGGAATTTTCCTTTAATCCTTCTTTCAGAGTCCAGTGATAAAGTTGTGAATGCCGGGGCCCGGAGAGGCTCGTCGCCGTGGTCGTGGTCGTCGTCGTCGTCGTCGTCGTCGTCGTCGTTTCAACATTTGAAAATCCGTACGAGCGTACGTTAGGCGGCCGCGAACTAGTCGAGCAGGAAGCGTGCACACGTTGGTGTGACACACGCGGTGACACACGNGTCGGCCGTTTGGGTACCGTTTGCAACATTCCTATCCGAGCTATCCGTGGAACGAGTTAGAGGGGAGGAGGCGGAGGAGTAGTGTTCCGGTTAGCCGAACCGTCGAGCCAGCCAGCCGTCGATGGATATGGCAGCCGCTGTTGTTGCTCCTCCACGGTTCCAACGTTGTCGGCGGCGTGCTACCTGTGAATCGAGCGAACAGGTGTTGTCGCAAGGTGTTGCCCGGGCCGGGATACGTGATTCCTCGTGATATCAGGCGCACGGCTCGTCAAACTGTCTGCGGTAGTGGTGTGTGCCACTCGTGTTTAACTCGATCGATCGTGTGTGCGTGTGTGTGCGTGTGTGTGCGTGCGCGTGTGAGAAAGAGAGAGAGGGAGAGAGACGATCGACACGATTCCTCGCGTGCATTCTTAGTGACCGAAAGTGTTTGACCGAAGTGATACGCGCTGAGTTTAGGTGTAATCGGGGTGGCCAAGAAGCGGAGAAGTAGGCCGCGGAGGAGAAAGGAGAGGAGAGGGAATATAATACACGGTTGAAATTGGTGCGAGGGAGAAGAAGAAGAAGAAGAAGGAGAAGGAGAAGGAGAAGGAGAAGGAGACAGAGTCGTGGGATACGTGTTGATCCGCGTCGATCCGTGTTGGTCCAGAGAATTAAGGATGAAGAGCAGGATGGTCGATTGCGCGCGATCCATATCCAGGTTTCGCGGCACCCTTCTTCTGCTTCTGACGCTGCTCGCGGAGGTGAGTAGTAAAGATGACGGTGGTGGGTATAATCGTATGAATCTAGGACGTGTCGTTGGAACGCCTTTCCACGAGAGACACTCACCAGCCAGCCTCTTGTCTATGATTACGTTTTGCTCCGCTTCTTTTGATCTCTGCTCACACCGGGTAGCGAGGAAAGTTTAGTAATAAATTTTTATCCTCGTTTTATTTATTTTATCCTCCTTTCTCGATTTTGTGTGTGATTTTTCTCGACAGCGAACCACAGATTATTCTTCTTAGAATGTAAACGAAAAGGTGGATTAATAACACGGTTATAGAGTTATAGATTATCGTTATCTAGATAGATTATTGTTTGTCGATATCGTTTCGAAAGGAAAAAAAATTTACCACGTTATTTACTTTATATCAATCTTTTTTCATCCGAAACTCTAAATTTTGAATGATATGTAGAAAAAAAGAAAAAAAAATTGTAGACAGTCCTCTTACGCGCACACAATAATCGAAGTAATATCGTTAGTGAAATTTGACAAGTCACGAGTTACCAATGCTAATAAATTTCTTGCGCAACAGAGATTGGAAATGGAACATAGTAACGTTCTAGAAGTAAATTTTTACGAGTTGCGAGTCGAGATTGTCCCATTCGGCTCTGACTAATCGAACTGAGAAAATTTTCCAAGCCGGATTCGAAGGAGAATCGAAGGAAGTTTCGCGGTGTAATATCTCGAGACCGAGTATCTCGTCTCTCGAGTTGTGGTCGGCGATCGGTGAAGGGGAACACACGCAGGCCGGGTATCTAGTCTTCTTTTGCTCGGCCGATTTGTGTCCCCGGATTGCGAAACTCGTCTCACTTTCCCAACGTGAGAGAACGTATCCAATGCGTTTGACCTCTGAATTCGAATCTGCTTATCGCTCGAATTATTCGAAACGATGTAAAACGATTTCCTTCCTCGATATCTTTAAATGGCAATTCCTCGTCCACACCTGCCAATTTTATCCTGCCGATTTCGTATTAAGGAAATATTAACGTTGGAACGTGTACGTAGAGGAATTTGACGAATTTTTTTCTTACGCAAATTTATGACGTGTTTGTATTTCGCGGACTGTTAACTCGGCTCGTATCTCATTGGCCCGGTGTTGTTGAATGACTCGAGGAATTTGATAAGAGCGCGAGTTTCGTTCACGGTTTTGCCGAATTCCGTGAAACAATGATAGGTGCTTCTTGGTGGGTGCGATAAGGATAAGTTATATTGGCGATAATCGATCGTATTTATTTCTTGATATATTGTATGTGATTTAATTCTCCGTCGATTATGATTATGATTTAACGAAGACGTAGTTTATCTTCTTACTATCTTCGTAATTATGATATAAAATTATTTGTATATGTATGTGTACAAATATGACGTGTACGCGAATACGTATTATTTTCTGGAATTGATTGACGACCACCAGGATGTAATTATGAAAAATTGCGGATTATGAGAAAGATAAAAAAAGATATTTATCTAAATTAAAGATGATAAAGAAAAAAAATAAAATAAATCCGTATCGGCCGTGGAAGGAAAGAAGCGGAAAGACGATAAGTGTGCAGTGGATTTCGTCGACAAATAAGTAATAAACGAAAGAGCAGGCGAAAGAATAATATACGATAGGATATAAAAAAAATTTACTATTATACCGTAAAATTTATATCCACATGTGCATACATTCCCCCCTCCCCCCGTGCATCGTCATCGTCGTCGTCGAATAATTAATAAACGAAAAAAAAAAAAAAAAAAAAAAAAAAAAAA